GGCCCAGGGCCTGGACATAGTGTCTACCCTGGAGATGCAGGGTTCCAGGTAAGTAGCCCTCCCCATCAGGTACACTGCCCTCACCCTACTCCGGATGACCAGCAGAGCCATGACTGCCCAGTTGGGACTTGATGTGGTCACATCCACAGGCACAGGCTGCAATGCCTGCTACATGGAGGAGATGCAGAACGTGGAGCTAGTGGAGGGGAACGAGGGCCGCATGTGTGTCAACACCGAATGGGGTGCCTTTGGGGACTCCGGCGAGCTTGATGAGTTCCTGCTGGAATATGACCGTGTGGTGGATGAGACCTCCATGAACCCTGGTCAGCAGCTGTAAGGATCAATCCCACCCCACCCCTCCACTTCAGTGTCTGGACAGGCCTTTGGGTAGCTTGCAGGGCAAATGGAAACCCTCACCACTGCCAAATAATGATTGGTTTTTAAACAGCTTGGGGCAGAAAGCAAATTAACAATGTTGTGTGAGCTCTCTTGACATCCTTTCTGCTGATCCCCTGGCTTCAAGCTTAGATAATCCTCTTCCTAGGATCCCACTGGCCATTTGCATGGTAAAGTCTCCAAGAGACCCACAACAGAGTGTAATTGTGTTTTTAACCCAGATTTCCTCAAAATAAGTGTCTGCCTACAGTCACAAATTGAATAATACTGTGAAACGTTATGGGTCTGAAGAACACAATTTGGTATCCAACCCTTCTCAGAGTTTGTTACAAAAATAGCGATCACTTATTAGCTACTTTCGAAGTGCCAAGATTGGGTGGCTAAGAGTCAGGGTAGACACGAAGGCAATGGGTTGACTACCGAATGTACACGTTATTATTTTATCTCTGACGCTCATAAACCTCTATTAGGTCAGAGGTATTCTATGTACGTATTGCAAAAATTTGACCTGGAGAATGGCCACGGCGGACCCATATATTCCACACCAAGAGCTTACATGTTAGGGGACCTCATCTGCCTGCAGATCTGCCTGCCCCTCCAGCCACGCTGGTCCTTCACCCTGTCCCAGGAGCCACCCAGCAGGCGCTGGTGGCAGCCTGCACAGAGCAATTCGGCTCCCTCCCCCTCTCCAGATATGAGAAGCTCATCGGCGGGAGATACATGGGCGAGCTCGTGCGTCTTGTGCTGCTAAAGCTCGTGGACGAGAACCTGCTCTTCCACGGAGAGGCCTCGGAGCAGCTGCGAACACGCGGCGCCTTCGAAACACGTTTTGTGTCGCAGGTGGAGAGGTGAGCAGAGGCCAGCCCAGAGCCCAGCGAAGGCGAGCACCTATCCACCACTCCTTTAATCCTCACAACAGATCCAGTGTGCAGCACGGTGACTTCCCCACTTCACATGGGGCACCTGGGAAATTAGAGAAGAGAGTAATGACCCATGTTATTAGCTGGTCTGGTTCTCAGCAGGTCCAGGCTTGAACCCCTGAGTCCCTGCCCCCAGGAGCATTTCACAGAGATGAGGATGGCAGGAGTCGTTCTCATTCTCAAAATAGGGGTCCCCAGCAATCGAAACGCTCTCTCAGCCCTGGCAAGGGGAGGGGTGGGCAAGCAGGTCCAAGGGTTCAGCCTCTGTCCCCCATACAGCGACTCAGGCGACCGCAAGCAGATCTTCAACATCCTGAGCACCCTGGGGCTGCGTGCCTCTGCCACCGATTGTGACATCGTGCGTCGCGCCTGTGAAAGCGTGTCCACGCGCGCGGCACAAATGTGCTCGGCGGGGCTCGCGGGCGTCATCAACCGCATGCGCGAGAGCCGTAGGGAGGACGTGATGCGCATCACCGTGGGCGTGGACGGCTCCGTGTACAAGCTGCACCCTAGGTGAGCGCACTGCACGCCTGCACCTCCCAGCCTGGGAATGATCCCCAGGGCCCAGAGCTGCAGAAAGAGAGGCCTGAAGGGACTGGATCCGTTATCTAGTGCTGTTGTGATAGAAACTGTAGAAACAAATTCCTTCCTCCACAGCTAAGAAGCTGAAAGGTCACATGCAGGTTGCAGGCACTCATGCAAGGTCACTGTTGATTCTGGCAGAAGTGCCTTGTCCCTTCTGGCTTCTGCCCTACACTATTCCTGTCTAATTAGTGTAAAGGTAAGGGGTGGTAGCCACAGGCATAGAGGTTAGGGTCTACAGCACATACTTTTGGGGACACAATCCAATCCATAACGTTTCACTCTTTGACCCTCAAATATTCATGCTCTTGCCATATGCAAAGCATTCACCCTATCATCATCTCAAAAATCTTGAATAAACTAAAAAAATATTTCATCTCCTGAATCATCTGAATCAAATATGCATGAGTGTTAGGTATATTCCATATTCTGAAACAAAATTCCTCTTTGAATCTGTGAACTCTAGACTTTTAGGTTATCTGTTTCCAAAGTGCAGTGATAGAACAGACACAGGTAAATATTTCCATCACAGATGGGAGAAATTTGGAGGGAAAGAAAGTATCTTTCCCATGGGCACTATGAAAGTCTAAACCCCTGTTTACATTAGCATTTAAAACTTGGAAATAGTCCTCATTCTTTGGGACCATGTAGGCAGTGGCTCTGTCCTGCAGACTTTGGGTTTTAGCTTGTGTCCTGTGTTCTGCAGGGAGGCTCTTCAGCTCTGGACTTAGGCTTCACCTGACTTTGGGAAACCTCATTCACCCACGAAATCTGAATGATGACCCCCATCCCCTTGAGCCCAGGAGGCACCATTCTTTTGCCTCTTGGGCATGTCAGTCCTGTCCCCTCAGCCCTGAACAGTAGCCCAGTGTCCTTGGCATTCTTGAATAGTAGCCCAACTCCTGAACCAAGTTAGTGAATGTCTGACTCTTTGAAACCTAAAAGGCCCATCAGAACATAACAACAGGCTGTGGTTTTAAATCCAGGCAGCCCTGTTTCCCTGCTGCTTCCAACAGTTCTGCTGATCTGATTGCTCTAAGAGTAATCCTCTTTCTTTTCTTGGAAGGTAACATATGTGGCTCCTTTAGCATGTTTCCTGCTTACAGACTTCCAAGAGGTAGACATCATTCTTTGTCTCCTTCAGCATGAGTGGATAGGTTTTCTGCTGTGGTGATTTGGAGCCTCTTTAGCATCTTCTTTAAGAAATTCCTCAGTCAGATATCAAGGTTCATCATTTACAAGTTCTGCCTTCCACCAAACATCTGAACATAACTCAGACAAGTTTGGTTTTTCCCCTCAGTGCATTAAAAGCATTATCCTTCCAACACAGTACAATCATATATTCATTGTTTTCTTTTAAAGCCACATCAAAAGCATATTTAACATACACATTTCTAGTAACATTCTGCTTCAGACATCTATGTATTCTCTAAGACAATAGAATCTTTCTCTATGGCCCTCTTTACTTCCTTCTAAGCCCTAACAAGAATTAGGTTCCTATTTCTACCAACAGTCTCTTCAAGGCCATCTGTTTTGTGCCACTGAGTCAGAACTGACCCACAGCTGACCCTCCAGTGAGTTTTCAGAGACAGTAAATCACACAAGCAGCGACTGTCATCCTTCTCCCATGGAGCTGCTGATGGATTTAAACTGTGTGCAGTTGTGCTTTTGTGATTGTAGTGCATGCAGTTTCTTGCTAACCACCAGGCTGCCTCAGAGCAATCTAGGCTTTCACTATTAAGCACATTCAAAATCCTCCAGCCTCTGCATATCATTCAGTCCTAAAACTACTTCTGCATTTTAGGTGCATGAGTAGAAGTAGCACTCAACTCTTGTGTATGTCAAGGACCTAAATTTGAGGTATCAAAGGGTGACGTTATGGATTTCATTGTTGTTGTTGTAGTTGTTGTGTGCTCTCGAGTCACCTGCAACTCATAATGACCCTATGTACAACAGCCCTAAACCCTTCTCTATCCTGCGCCAGTCTCTGTCTTTGACACACCTATTCCTATTACCCCAGTCACTGAATCAATCCATCTCTTCGAGAGTCTTCCTCTCCTGTGCTGTCCTTCCACCGTCCCAAGCATGACATATCTCTCCAAGGACTGGTTCCTCCTTGCAACATGTCCGAAGTATGCCAGACGAAGCGTCAGAATCCTTGCCTCCAAGGAGCAGCCTGGCTTCACCCTCTCCTCTTTGTTCTTTTAGCAGTCCATAGTATATTCAATACTCTTCTCCAGCACCACATCTCAAAGGCATCAATTCTCCTTCTATCATCCCTAGTCATTGTCCAACTCCCTGTTGCATAGCAAGTCATTGCAAAGTCCATGGCCTGTATCAAGAGTACCTTAGTCCCAAAACTGACATCGTTGCTCTTCAGTACTTTGGAGAGGTCTCTGACAGCAGACTTTCCCACTGCAATTCAACTTTTAATTTCCTGGCTGCTGTTGCCATGATTGTTGATGTTGGAGCCAAGCAAACTAAAGCTGTCCCCTAAATATGTGTTGAAAATCCCAATCTCTATTCCTATGTTATCGTTTTCTTTAGGAATGGGTTGTTTTAGTTGTTAATGAGGCAGGAATAGAGTATATCTTTTGACATATAAAGGTACTAAATAAGTAAGCAGCAGTCCACCCTCTTACACAAAGAACATAAATTTCTGCTTGATCACCCACCCATTTGTGTTATTCCTGTTATAGCAGCACTAGATAATTAAAACAAGGATGCTCCCCAGGGTGCCCTTAGCTGCAGTCAGAAGGACTGCCTTCCTGTTACCCTCTCACTCCCTGACCCAGGTGCAGGGAAGTCCCCTGACCACAGCCTGCCTCAGTTCTCTAGTTTTGTCCCTCGCAGCTCTTCTAATGGTGGGAAGGAGTGAGGTGAGGCCTGGGAGGGGGAAAAGGAGGCAGTACCACCAGGACTGATCCCTTCCTCCTCAGCTTCAAGGATCGCTTCCATGCCAGTGTACGCAGACTCACGCCCAGATGCGAGATCACTTTCATCGAGTCGGAGGAGGGCAGTGGCCGAGGGGCAGCACTGATCTCTGCCGTGGCCTGCAAGAAGGCCTGCATGCTGGACCAGTAAAATTAGAGGTCAGAGGGCATGGAGGAGCCTGTGAGCCTGTGTCCACAGGCTACAGGCACCTCAGGTGCTCTCAATCTGGACCAGAGCAGGTTGTCCTCTTTGCAAAGACTCTGGAAGTATCCCATCCCCACTGCTACCTCCAGGAAGATGGGGAAGGCCCTGCCAGGGATCTAGATCAGCATCTTTTCCAAGTTTGTCACATTGGCAGTCTTGGGTGGTAGGGGATGAGAGGAAATGCTTGGGATGAACAGGAATGGAGACCCTCAGAACCTCTCACCTACTTGAATCCTACAATCCAGACTGGAGTTACTTATTGAAGACTGTTGCATCTTCTCCCTCTACAAGGTATTGGCCTTACTGAGCCAACCCTCAGCCTCTGCTGAGGGAAGAGTCTGTTGCTCTGGGTACTCTTGGAACTGGCTTCCCTGAGAACTGGGGAGGTGGTTTCAGTGGCTGGAGGCTGCTGATCTCTGGGAAATTCTCTTGCCTTTGGTGAAAGAGGCCCACGAGAGCAATGGAAAGGGGACCCAGCTCCGCTGTGGAGGCTTCCAGGCTATGTTCTCGCCAGGGGGCTCCCTCCCATGTCCCTGTCCCTCAGGGCACTGGCCTAGTTTGTGGTCCTGGAATGGAACCTCACAGACAGTGCTCAAAAGCCTCCGGGTGGTACCAGCTCTCTGAATGAGAGACCAGCATAGGAAGAAGAGCTTATCACCAACCTGCTCCAGTGGTGGGATGTGGGAGGACATGAGAAATGCCATCCTTGGCTCCCACAACCTTCCAAGGGATACTTAGGCCCTCTCTACTTCTCAGCAGACTTCACATGTGCCACTCTACCCTCTCCATTCCCAACTCATGACTTCATGGTTTTATAAAAAATAATAAAAAAAAGTGAAAGTTTCAAATATGGCCTTATCGACCATTCTCCGGCCCCTGTACATAAAGATCATGGGGAAATGTACATAAAGAGACAGCTTCCAGGGCATACAGTAAGTACTAGAATTCACCATTGCTCCACCAACTGTACCACCCTGGGGAGTGTGTTAAGTGACTGAACCGAACATAAGAGCAGGAATGGGAAGGGCAGGGGAACAGAGATTTTACCACCAATGTTCTAATTGGATTAAAACAGTTCTTGCTTGTGTGGATACACAAATGTTTTTATTTGCAGCAAGTAAAATACAAAGAATCTAGTCACTTTGAAAATATGCTACCTCAAAGAGGGAAGATGGGGAAAAAATAAAAAAGAGGGAAGATGATGTATTATGCAAATCAAGAGGCACACACAACTGATCTTCAGGCTGGAGTTGGACTGACAAAGAGCTCACCACAGCTTTGTGATAACCAGGCGTTGCCTGGGAAGTGTCTTCTTGGATTTAGAGTTACCTTCTTCTGGTTGAGATGCCCACTGCCGCTTCCTCAGGAAGGTCATCTAGCAGCCACATTTTTTGTTTGTTTGTTTCTGCACATTCACAGAACCTAAAACCCCTTGCAGATAACTTGAAATGATATTTTAGTAAAATTAATGTTATAAGAACACCTGAGGCTGCCAGAATTACTGAATTCTTCTGCTGCCTGTGCAGGGTGTGCCGCTCCTTGAAATAAACAACTTGTGGCTGGCCTCCTTGACCAACTGTCTTGAGGAAAAAATACTTGGTTACAATAGTAAAGTAGCTTCTATCCTGCTTACTTTGTAAATAGGAAAAGCTGCTGCAATCCCAAAGGCATGCCAATGGAATCCACCAGTTGCTCCTCTGGAGAAGGAGGAGCAATCTCCTACAGTGCCAGTCAGATCCAACTGACCTTACACAACAAGAAAGGGGGGGGGGAGAAGAAAAGTGTCAACTGGGAGAGTCTGTTACCAGAACAATTTCTACCTGAGTTCAGCGGTTGTTAAAAGTTTGTTGTGTGCAGTGAAATCAGAGCCAACCCATAGTTGACCCTCTAGTGGAGCAGCTAGTGGACTCAAGCCACATGCCTTTGGGATTGCAGTGCAGCTTCTTACCACTAGGCCACCAGAGCTCCCCTTTTAAAAGTTTACCAGTATATTTAATACAAAAACATCAGTTAATATTTCCCCTTCCTATGAACTGCAGAAAACTATTCATTGCTTGATTGTTTTCAAAAGACATCTTTGGTAAAGTGATACTGATCTGGAAAGTCTTCATTGTTACACAAGATTCTAATAGACATGGCAGTTGGAGGTTTAAACTAGTGAAAACTTCAGGAAAATTTTATTAATACAAGGTAATCTATGATTCAAGAGATTTTTTTTTCCTCAGCAAGCGTTTGGTAGTGGTTATTATATTAATGAAAATGGCCTCAATGTTCTAACAGATGTTGTTGATTGGGGCCATTGCAACCCAGTGAAGAGCAGCACCAAACAGTGGCTTCCTCGTGCCATCCTTCCCAGTCACTGCAACATCTTCCTCAGCGTTTTCTTTCCCTTCACTGATTCTCTGATTTTTCCAAGCATGCCATCTTTTCCCAAGGACTGGTCCCTTCTGACAACACAGGAGCAAAATGTAAACCAAATTCCAGAAGAATATGGAAGATTAAAACAAACCAACCAACCAACCAAAACCCTGCCATGAAATAAAAAAGGAGGAAACATCAAGATGAATGAACTGAGCATCTGACTGATGCTTGTCACTGCTGGGGGACTGGGGGAGTGGGTGTAGTGGGGCAAGATGCCTGCCCTGGGGCAATGTTTCTCCCAGCTCAGGAAAGGTTGGGATCCTCCATAGGCCCCAAGATCTGAGCTGGACCACAAGTAACATCTCTTCTGGTCTATGGGACATTGAGGGGTGGGGCACCCCACCTGGAATAGAGTGTCTGCTGGCCCCTGAGGCATCTACACTGGCTAGGAATAGTGTCTAGTCTGTCTGGCAAAAGAATGGTATCTTTGTCAGTCTTGGAGATCAGTACATACAGGGTGTCAAGTCAGAGATGACTAGCATGAAGAGATCATCACTGCTGACCTGGAATGTCCAAAGATGGCACATGCCTCAGAGGGTGCACGGCTTCAAAAGGGATCATGGTCTTTTGAAGTAAGAGTGCCCATGGGAGGCAAGAAACCCAGTCAGAGATGGTGTTGCAGGAAGACGAGACACCTCAGGGGTAAATAACCACAAACGCCTCTTTAGTAAAAAGTATTTTATTATGCCTGCAGAGCTTTGGGGGACTATTGTCCAAAATGACCAACCTCTCCAAACTACTTTGTTCTGAGCTTTTTCTAGGAGACAGACAAATTCTGTGACACTCTCATTGGTGGTTTTAAAGCATCAGTATTAATTTTACAGTTTCAGCAGGATGGGAGGTTGTGAGTTTGAACATGTCCCAGCTTTCCAGATATAGGAATATTTTTATGTGGCCACAGCTTTTCTAGCGCAGTAGAAAAAGAAACATACAGCATTACAGCCTTCCTGGCTTTTCAGATAAGGAAGAACCTGGAGAACCTCTCTTTTCCCTTCTTAGGAGTTTTAACATTCTTTCAAAGCCTCTTTTTCCCCAGGGTTCCTCTCTTAGTGGTACACCAATAATCCAGGGATAGAGTGGAGGCTAAATACCCAGTTAGCCAGCTCCCATGAGATAGGGAGGCTGTGAGTGTAGAATTTGCACCCTTTGCCTGGCCCCAAACAGAGCTGGAATGTACCAGGGGAATGGTCTCAGCCACCTGGTATGGGTGGAGGGTTTACTCCTCTGATCTTCAGGATGTCGTGGGGGACATGGGAGGAGAATACACCTTTCCCATTGTCAACTAGCTGATGATGTGGGTACCATTGTGGTCCCACCTTCCCACACCAAGCAGATAGGAATTCAAAATGGCTATACTGTGCCATTTATGTTTCTACGGTCAGCCTGTCTCCTTACTTGATATTTTCGTTTAGTTTCTTCCTTTAGTCAGTGTTTTGTCTTTTCTATTAAAATTCAGAGTTCCACAATTATCACCCATGTCTGTTATCTTTGTTTCCTGGTGAAGAGACTCTGAACTACCATCTGTCTAGTCCACCATCTTACCCAGAAGAGAGACCAAGTCTTATTGAGAGTTGGCCAAGTCATAGTAATTAGTTAACCTAGGTCTGTATTTCATATAAATAGTTCTACAATATGTTGTTATTTGTTGTTAGGTGCCATCAAGTAGAGCATGATTCATAGCAACCCCATGAACAAAAGATCTGAACCGTGTACTGTCCTGTGTCATCCTTACACTTCCTAACACACAAGAGCCCATTGCAGCAGTCACCTTGTCAATCCAATTGGTTGAGAGTCTTCTTATCCTTCGCTGACCCTCCACAACATCATGTTCTCCAAAGAATAGCACCTCCTAGCAACATGTCCAAAGTATGTGAGGTGAAGCTTCATCATTCTTGCCTTCCAAAGAGCACTCCACCTGCAAAAATACATTTGTTCTTTCTCTTGGCTGTCTATGGGATGTTCAGTGCTCTTTTCCAACACTATAGCTCAAAGGCGTTCATTCTTTTCCTGCCATTCTTATTAATTGCATCTGGTAGTAATCAGAAAGATTATGAGCTGAATCAGATGCACCATAGTCCTCAAATTGACATTACTACTCCTCAATACTTTGGGAAGGTCCATAACTGCAGATTTTCCCAGTGCAATGTGTCTCCTTATTTCCTGACTATTGGTATCAAGGATGTTAATTGTGAATTCAAGCAAGATGAACTGTTGACAGTTTCAGTCTCCTCTCCATTCATCATGATGCTGCCTATCAGTCCAGTGTAACTCGTCGTTTTCCTGAAATTGAGGTGCAATCCATACCAAAAGCTGCATTCCTTGATGTTCTGCAAAAAAGTGCTTCAAGCCCTCCTCACTTTCAGCAAGCAAAGTTGTGCCATCTAGAGACACAAGTTAATATTTTTGGGTGTTTTTTTTAAATTGGGATTTTTTTTTTACTTTTAAATATATATATATTATTAATTTTAAT